AAAAAAAAAAAAGATGGTACTAGGACAACTGGATAATCCAAAAAAAACCCACTGCTATCAAGTCAATTCTGACTCACAGTAACCTTATAAGACAGAGTAGAACTGTCCCATAGGGTTCCCAAGTTTGTAAATCTTTGTGGAATGAGACTGCCTCATCTTTCTCCCACAGACAGGCTGTTGTGTTCAAACCTCCAACATTTTGGTTAGCAGCCAAATGTTTTGACCACTGTGACACCAATGTTCCCTGGACAACCAGATAGCCACATACAACAGAATAAATTTGGACCTCTTACTTTTTATCAAATACAAAAATTAGCTCAAGATGCTTCAATGATCAAATTGAAACTAGAGAACTATTGAACTTTTAGAAGAAAACATACTAAAAATCTTTATGACCTTGGATTCTTAGATATGCCACATACACACATACACACACACACACACAAATAATAGATAATATGGACATCATCAAAATTACCAACTTTTGTGCATCAAAGGACACTATCAAGAAAGTGAAAAGACAGCTCACAGAATGAGAGAAAATATTTGCAAACATATCTGGTAAAGGACCTCTATCCAGAATATATAAAGAACTGTAACAAAATGATAATACAAAGAAAAATCATTCAAAAAATGAGGAAAGGACTGGACTCACCCAAACAACAGACAGCTCTAAACTCTAAAAAATTCACAGCCGTCGAGTTGGATCCGACTCATAGCAACCCTGCCTTGGGTTTCCGATGTGGTATCACTACGGAAGTAGATCACTTGATCTTCCTTCCGATGAGTGGCTGGTGGATTTGAACTGTCAGCTTTCTGGTTAGCAGCCAAACAGACAGGTCTACATGGTGAAAAATAACACCAGGGACGTATATACTACTTAGAATAATCAAGCATACATGATCAAAAGGGTACCACTTGACCAGGAATAAAGCTCAGAAGGCAGGAAGTGATAGGAAAGGACAAATAGAAATGGGAAACACAGGGAGGAAGTGAGAAGAGTGCTATTACACTGTGGAGATTGCAATCAATATTACAAAATGTGCATGAATTGTTAAATAGAAAAATTATTCACTCTATAAACTTTAACCTAGATCGTAATTTAAAAAAGAAATTAAAAGACAATCCACAAAATGGGGAAAATATTTGGAAATCATATATGTGATGGGAGCTCTGGTGGTGTATTGCCTAAGGCCTCTGACTGCTAACCAGAGGCTAGCAGTTCAAACCCACCAGCCACTCTTCAGAAGACAGACCAGGCAATCTACTCCCATGGAGATACCGCTTGGGAAACCCAAGGAGGGGTCGCTATGAGTTGGATCTGACTCAGTGGCAGTGAGTTTGGTTTGGTTTGGTTTATATATGATATATCTGATAAGAATTTTGTATCTAGAATCTATAAAGAACTCTGACAACTCAGTAATAAAAAGACAAACAGCCCAATTAAAATATGAGCCAAGGATCTGAATATACATTTCTCCAAGGAAAATGACCCATAAATACATGAAAAGACACTCAATGTCATTAGTCATTAGGGAAATGCAAATCAAAACCAGAATAAGATACTACTTCACACCCATGAGGATGGCTATAATCAAAAAGAAAGATAGCATCAAGTACTGGAAAGATGTGGAAAAAATGGAACCCTTATATACTGCTGATGGGAATGTAAAATGGTATAGCCATTTGGGATAACAGTCTGGAAGCTCTTCAAAAGGTTAAAAGGAATTACCATATGCCTCAGCAGTTTGACTTCTAGGTGTATAAATATATATATGAAAACATATGTCCATTTTAAAAATAAAAACAAAGACAACTGTGCTGGTGGCCTATTACTAGGAAGGGACACAGCAAGGAGGGAGACAACCTGAGCTGTTGACTTTCTGCTGTCTGGAGAGTGCAGCCATTTTGATTGTTTACACACAGCAGCCATTTTTGATATCTAAACTCATCAAGGATGCAGCCATTTTGAATGTTTACAAGCGGCAGTCATTTTGGATATTGGAAGTGACTGAGAGCGGAGCCATTTTGAATGTTTACAAGTGGTGGCCATTTTGGATATTTAAAGTGACCAAAGGCGCAGCCATTTTGAATCTTCACAAGCGGCAACCATTTTGGATTTTAAAGTGACAGCATTCTCATCAGATTCCAGGGATCTAAGAACAGGCTCTGCCAAGGTCAGCAGGGACATACACAAGGCTGACAACAGGAAAGGAGACAGGTGGTAAGTGTATAAGTGCTGTCAACTAGTGAATAGAGGAGCACAGCACAGTACCCTGCTTGCGTAGATAACATACAAAGAAAACAAAAATCATGGGCAAGTCACTCCAACATATAATTACCAATTAAATATAAACACAAAAACATCACAATGCCTTGGAGACAACAGAGCATCACAGTCCACACAAAGAAGCAAGATAAAGCAGGCGAAACAAGAGACCAGGACACAGACCCAAAACACATTCCTGAGGAAGACGCAGCATTGGAATTCCCTGATAAGGAATTCAAAAGAATTATATTCAGGTATCTTCAACAAATTGAGAGACAGATCAAGGAAAACACAGAGAAAACCCTAGAACAATTTTGAAAGACAATACAAAAACAAAATGACAAAATAAATGAAAAATTAGAAATGATACAAAATCTATACACAGAAATCCAGAAGATTAATACTAAATTTTCAGAAATAGATAAGACATTGAATGGGCAAAGGAGCAGAATTGAATCAATGGAAGACAGAATTAGGGAGACTGAAGGCAAATACCTGAACACTTCTTCAGAAAGGGATCAATCAGAGAAAAGATCAAAACAAAGTGAAGAAAGCCTACGATTCATGTGGGATATACTATCAAAAGGAATAACCTACATGTCATTGGAATTCCAGAATAGGAAGAGAAAAAGAAAACCACAGAGAAAATTGT